CCCAGTTGTGAGTGCTGAAACCCTTCCATGAACCGATGGAAGTTGAGCCAGGCAATGATGGCAAGGAGTCCCATAAATCGTGTTGCTGCCATGCTGCCGGACCCGGTTCCTCGGCGACGATAGTTTGGGCAGTTATCCCATGCAGATATATTTATATATGTATATGTATATTGTCCAGTCAGGTACGGCCCTATTGCGACTAGATGTCGCCTGGGAGCTGAGGTGTTGACCTGTCTTGTCACCCTTGCGGTTCTCCCGTTTTCTCCGCTTTTCCTGGAGGTTGGTCGTGTGTGCAATCTTGTAAGCGTGAGGGTCTGGAGCATAGGGATGACCTGCGCCTGGCATCCTAAACACTGCCGCCTAAATTGCCTAAACGTTGCAAATCCTGTAAGCCCTCTAAACCCTTGGGTAGCCGCATGTTTCAGAGGGGCCGCTCGGGCAGGGCTGCTTCGACATGCTCCGCGAGATTAACGATGCCCTGCCGGCAGTCGAAGTACAGGCGGCGCTTCACATGCCACGATGCCATGCATGCGCCGAATGTCAAACAAGAATGTCCTACGTTCTTGGACGCGAGCTTATAAGCTCTACTGGTAGACTGCGGCTGTCAGGGAAGCAGGCTTCAGGGTCAGCTGCATTTCCCTCGCGCCTCTGGTCCAACTACCTCCCATCCCCTTTGAATCCGAGTCACTTGCCTCTTGCAAGAGCAAGCAGGATGGGGGACTGGGACTGAAAAGTCTCATCCTTTGCCTTCTGTCTGTGGGCCCTGTGGCATTCTTGTCGAGATCATCCCTGGAGCTGCTTTGGCCGGAGGGGCTCAGGGTTGCGTGGGAAGTCTTGGGGCCTGAAACGAGCCCGATTTCATGCTCAGGGTTCTGTAGAGGTGGCTACCAGGCCTCGGCAATGCCTCCAAACCTGTGCTCCGGGTATCTGTTGCATGTATGGTAGCACGTGTGCCTTTGAAGTGGCGAAACCAAGGCATGTGCAGCAGCCCCTCAAATGCGATGCCAGACCTTCCCGGTAAGATGCCGGTGAGCGGTCATCTGAGCAGCGCAAGACCTGACTTTCGTGGCAGTGTCGAGAACCACACATGACGTGCGTCGCCGATGTAGTCCCTAGGACGTGATCAGCCCCTCTTCTTCCCACGCCGCCAAGCGGATTTTCACGTGGGCACGCACATATGAGGCATACGAGGAAAATCGATATAAATAACGTGTTCACTTAAAACTATTATGAATATAAAGATATATTTTATATATTAATAATTTGGGGGGTTTCCGAAAA